TGTCAAGCTCATAGCTGCTTTAGAGTTCCCATGGGTGGGGTCTGGAAGGTATCCTCTCCCAGGGTAGAGCTAATGTCACAGAGGTAGTTTCAGCATTTTTCACCCCTTCTGATTTTCCTGTGGTTCTCTGTTATTATTAGGCATTTTCAAAATGAAGCAATCAAACTGGGGAAAAGGTGTACCGTGTATTTGTAGCCAAAAGCACCAATTTGGGATAACTGTATATAATGCACAGTGGTTTTCACTTTTTGTCTTTTATCTTCAGTTATAAAGAGAGATAAGGTAAGTCACTCATGATGACGTTCTGGTCCCAATCTGTCTTTCATCACTACACTTATGAAGATAAATATCACATTTAAAGATACCACAGCTATCCTGTGTTGTTTCAGAGTAGAGATTCTTCTAGGTTAGCGCAGAAGTTGTCCTGGTTCTATTATTTAACAATCAAGCCAGAGATTTAGCTCTGTGGTTCCGCCCCTGCCTCGCAAGCACAAGGTCCTGAGTTCAATCCCTGGTACAAAAAACAAACAAACAAAACAGAATTAAAACCACCAAACTGTTTGCCGAGGATGTAGCTCAGTGGTCCGCCACCTGCCTCGCAAGTGCAAGGACCCGAGTTCCATCCCTGGTACAAAAAAATAAATAAATAAATAAAACTTGTTAAAAATCAACAACACTTTGTATGTGCTGTTTACTACCCTCATACCTTGATCTCCCACGTCAAAATAACACCAAAAGAGAGGAGGACTTGGAGGAATGTGATTTCATCCGTGTCTATAGATGCTCTCTTCATTTTAATTAAAAATAATTTTGCAGTAAATGCCAGGCACCAAGCTCTGCAGTGGTAAAAGCACTGATTGATCGGCTGGGTTCTGAGTCGTCACGGTGATAAGTGGAATAATGGAGAGAAAATCACGGAAAAAAACTAATAAGAAGCTGTTAATACTTTCTGAGAGCAAGTCAGATGTGAAAGGAGTAAGTCAGAGTAGAAGCACAGAGATGTGACAATAACGGAGCTGCTATATCGGAGAAAACCATATGGATGAATGCCTCAGCTTTCTATATGTACAGATGGCAACATTGGGTTTTAAAGCTATAGCAGAAGAAAAGATGGATTTTTCTGCTTTGGGCCTGTGGACTCTGCTACCGGTAATTAATAGATAAGATCTTTTTATAACTCGGAAATCGAATGTACTTATTCTCGTGTTGCTTCTAATTACCCTTCCACAAACTGGAAGTTTAAAATTGGAAAACTTTTCATTGGAATCAAAGTACTGTCTCTTTATCCCTCGGTGGCTTCATAAAATTTTACAGAAAAAGGAGTAAACCGGTAGGGATCTTTCACAGATCTGACACACTTGATTGACAAAGTAGACATTTCCAAAATAATTATCTGTCTTTGGAAGCTTAGTTTGAACCGTGAAAATAAAAACAAAAAAAAAAACTGTCGATTTTTCTCTGGGACATGTTAATTTCACAGAGTTCTCTTTAATCAATTGGTGGTTTGTACTAATTATGTAGTTCATATTCAGGATGTGTTTTCATTGTTTTTTCCTTCGCATGAACTTGTTTTACCAAACAAGCTGTTTGATTCATTCTTCGAGAAATATTTATTGAACATGTACATGGCAGTTACTGGACTGTGCACACACACACCAAATGAAGTGTGTTACCTGTCCGGAGGGCCACGTAGGCTAAGGAGGAAGGAAAACACACGAGCAGTGTGTGGGATGTGGGTGACTAGCACCAGCAGCGGAAGCTTGATCAATAAATATTCTTCTCATCCTTCCTACATTGAAAGTAACAGTGTACCGTGTTAAAAGAGCAGAAAAGTGTGAATTCTGACAAATTTAGAGAATCTTGAAAGGGTTTGCTACGGAATCACCTCTTTCCCTTTTTTAGCATGTTCCTATGAAAACATGCGTGGTGGAAGAAGGGGGTCAAAAAGAAAGAGGGTCAAGAGTGGGTATAGTGTAGGTACCATAGCCGGGGCTGGATTCTCTGAGCAGGTGAAACTAGGCAGAGTCCTAGAAGAAGTAAAATAGCGAGGTCTACAGGTCGTTTGGATGAAAGGGGTGTGATGTCATGAAGTGCACGCAGCGCTATCGGCCCACCTGGGTCAAAATATTTTAAGCAGAAGGAAACCAAGTGTGAGGTTTCCGCAGAAGCAGTGTGCTTGCTATGTTGTGGGAACAGCAAGGAGCCAGTGTGCTCCTACAGGAGGAAGAACTGTGGTGATATAGAGGTCAGAGAAGGATGGATAAAACCACAAATATAAATGGTTTTATAGACCACTGGAAAGACATCACTATTTCGCTGAGTTCAAGAGAAGCCAATGAAGATTGAGAAGGAGATATACAATCGGACTTTCGTTTAGATAGAGTCTCTCCACTGTTTGGTGGAAAGACTGAACAGGGACAGAGATAGAAACAAGAGGAATATATTTTAAACACGGGTATGGAATAGTTCAGTTACCCAAAGGAAGAAATTGATCGGGAGGCAGAAATGGAGATATCTGCAAATGACCGGAATCTTGATGTACAAGATTTCTCTTGCATAGGTATTAAAACACCAAGCTTATGTGGTGTAGAAGTGATAGGGTGCAAAGCTGAGTGGTATGAGACCAAATCAGGAGTTGCAAGGGTGCCTTTGACCTGAGCTACTAGGGTAACTGTCCCTGGAATAGTATTTGTAACATGTTAAGATCTTAAAATGAGTTGTTAAAATCCACGAATGGATTTACATTACAAAAGAGTGTTTCTAGGGTAAGTGTTGAGATGGGATTTTTATGCAGATGGGTTAAATTTCACTGCCTATAAGTTAAGGTCTTGTGTTAATATTTACTATATACAAGTCTGCAAGCTAGCTGCAGATGGAGATCTGTCCATGTTCAGTTTGTAGATGGCCTTTAAAGCCATTCTAGGAGCACCTAGAAAGTAAGGATAAAGAGCTCACTGGCTAACACCTGTGCCACTTTAAGATTCAGTGGCTTATAAGGTAAGGCAGAGCCAGCAATAGGAGCTGCTCGGAGTGACCACTGAGGTAGGCGGAAAGTCACCTGTGTCGTTTCTTAGACATCAAGTATGGAGAGTTATTTTCAGTAAGTAGAGTGTTACTGTGTGAGATGCTGGTAAACTGTGCTGAATATGAGAACCAAGAACTACTTACTCAATTTAACAATAAGCCTGGATTTCACTCCAACTTTTCTCTACCCTCTCTGTTACCACTGATTATTACCCACCCTCTTTTTAACAAGTTGCCACAAATCCAATATATATCAATTTATGTCTGTTTCTTTTTTTTTTATCTTTTTGGTACTTACTTTTAAAATTAATTTTATCGGTACAATTTAGCTATACAATTTAGTGACACTCATCTTTGGAAATGTGTACCTTTATTATAATCTGTCTTGGTTCTTATTTTTTTTTTTCCTCAATCCCCTGCCCTCCCTTCAAACTTCTACCCCTCCCTATGCACACCGAGGCCATACTCTTAAGTAAAATAAATAAGACAGACTTGTAAATACCAAATAGTTTCTCTGGTGTGAGAAACTGAATGTAAATAAGAATCGCAAGGCATAATAGATATAGTGAAATAGGCAGAAAAGTTCCACAGGGGAAGGGGAAGTAGGAGACATTGAGGAAAGGAAAGAAGGGCATGGAATGAATATGAGGAAAGGAAAATGGAAACAAAGTCTCAGTTTTCCTTTGTCTTGCTGAAAGGTAGTTAGGGTTTCTCAAAACCACAACATTTGGAGGAACTTTTTACAAGGGCCTGTTGCACATTTTTAAAGCCAGTGGCAGAAAATGCACAGATGGTCTCGAAAATACCTTTTAATTATATTCACGTTTGCTTGCATAATATTTTTTTTTTTCCGGTACAGGGGATTGAACTAAGCACCTTGTATTTGCCAGGCCGGCACAGAGCTATTGTGCTACATCCTGGCCCAACTTGTATAATAATATTTACTAGTAATGTATTTCTTTGAAGTTTAAAAATACTTTCATCTACATTATTTCTTCCAAACAAAACCATCTAACACACAAAAATGTCCAGCTTTGAAAGCTCGATCCCCAGACCACACCACCTGCTCAGCCTCCTTGAGGGAGGCGGCCACAGGCTTCACACCTCCTCTTCCTTGAAGGTTGTAACACCTGCCTCCTTCTTGTTCCTTCGAAGCCTACTCCTGATTGAAACGTGGTGACTTCAATGCCCATGTGTGTCCTTGGATCTCGAATACTCCTTGCGAGGGGTCTTTCCGTCTGCAGTTACTTTGGGTTTCCTCTTTACAGTCTGTGCCGCCTTGAGACGTAAAGTCTTGCAATTTTGAATTTAAAGAATATTTATTCTACTTTTATTATGCTTTGTAAGACGTGAGCCTGTCTCCCAGTGCCTCTTTGATCCAAGATTTTGTTGCCTTCAGTACTCAGTTCGAATTCTTACCCTACTAGCACCACAGGAGCAATGGGGTAAGGTGGAGGATGGGAGGGGGAGGGGCAGATCATGGGTCGCTCTAGTTTGGGGGGTGGGGAAAAACCCCAATTGGAGTTTGCAGCAGATGCCTTTGTTTTGGTTTTCACATGTCATTTGCCTTTAATGATCAAGTGTTCTGTTTAACTCTTTCCTATTCATTCTCGTAAGACCCTGTCTGTTTTGATCTCCTGAGGCACTCGTGATCAGAATAATAGCTCAGAAAGAAAATGTTGCTTGCTTCAGGTCATGAATCTAGTAAGTGAGAACCAAGTGTGGACTACAGATCTTCTGACTCTAAGTGATTTTTTTTTTTTTAATTGGCAGTCAAAAACATGCAGTGGCCAGTGCTTAACTTAGCAGCCTTGGCTTTCTGCCCAGAACACTGTAAACTACAGTGGTACTTGAATAAACACTGTCACCAGTGGTGACTGTGGTGGCGGCGGCGGCGGTGGGGGGGGGCAGTGACAGATCCAGAAATGTGCTGAAGGGTTCTAATGGATACCTGTTTTTTTGTGTTTTGTTTTTAGATTGTCAAACACATTGCCTATTTACAGCATCGAGGCCCCAGTGGAGAGCTAGGTGGGTGATGATTCATGCTAAACGGTTCCCGCAGTGTGCTGAAGCCCGCAGCAGCGCGAATGTGAAGTGGCTCATTATACGCTGTCAAGGCCAATAGCAGAAGTGGCTGGCTTCACGCACACAGGCAATTTGTGAGAAGCCCAGCCACCACAAACCACTGTCGAATTTTAAAAGATAAGCTACAAGGTGGTGGTGGTGGTGGTGGTGGTGCTGGGGACATACTCACGGAGTCAGATTTGCAAATTTTCTCTGTCTGTCTCCCTTTGCCAATTTAGAAACAGCTTCCCCGAGCCCAGCCTCCCTCCAGAGGTGACTCCTCTGGGCTTTGCTTCTTGGGACTGACTGCTCAGTCAGCCAGTTCTATGGGTTTGGACTTTATAAGGCTGGGGCTTCACTAGCACAACTGGAAATGAGGTTCTCCTATCAAAATCTTCCTGAAGCTCCCTTTGTAGCTGTCCTCCACCAACCGACCATGCCGTATATGTTTACATAAATCCATTTCCTGTCAGCGGCAGCCGGGCCTTCATGGGTGGTAGTTTTACCTGCAGAGAGAAGTGCAAGAGGCAGCAGGCAGGAATCCTGGCTCTTTGCCTTGTGACTTATAATTACGCATTTTTGTGTTTCCATTCAACTGCAATCTCCTTGAAGTTAGGATCGTCGGTTTATGTACTTATTTAGTCTGGTCCTTGTGGGCTGTGGTTGGCTCTCCGTAAACAGGTATTCTCTTCCAGATTTAATGCATCCCCTTCCAAAGAGTCCATAATTGCCAAAGGGACTGGGTTTACTCTTTTGGACTCCCTCTGTCTAGCACAGTGCCTGCCACATTATTGGCTGAAAACAACACCTGTGTGGAGCGAAGGAAGAAGGGATGAAGGAGGCCATCGGTCACGTGATTCTCGGTGGCCCAATTATTGGTTAAGAAAATGAGCTCCAATCATTGGAGACAGAGAAGCGATGGCTCCAAAGCATGTGTCCCCAGGCCAGCAGGAAAAATGCCCTGAAAGTTTTGTTGTTTATTTTGGAAGGCAAAAGATAATCTGGAGCTATTTACTTTATTTTTATATTCAAATGCCTATAAAACAGAAAGGCACTGGAGACCTTTTCATTGCTCGCGAATGATCTATGGGATAATAATGTGCTTGCTTTTCCAGCTGTGCTGCACTTTGGTGCTGTCCTGGGTTTAATTGAAAATAAGCTTGACCTTGGTTTTGTTCACTGGGCACGGGGGGGGGGTATCATTGGCAGGTTGCTTCCGGAGAACTCCCTATTAAATGAAAGCGATTTAGCTAATTTGGGGTTCACCCGAGGGAAATAACATGAGAAATCCTGTAAAAAAAATAAAACTAAGATGCGTTTTATGTGTATTCCATGCACAGGAAGTTAATGATTTGTTTTTAAATCAGCCTTTTATTTTGCGGTACCGATTTGTTGAATCCTAAATGCTATCAGTACGATAATAATATTGTCCCTAACAGTCTCATGTTTCATCATAATTAAATAAACAGCTTGTGAATCGTAGTCCAAAAAATGTCTGTGTTCCAATCTTAACTTAAGGGGTTTCCATAGAAACCATGGGCAGGAAGTTTAACTGACATTTATTGGACTTGAGGCTATTTACAACATTGATAGCTCTTTGTTTTTCTCTGTCATTCTGTGTGAGTCTTCTTCCTTTTTAACTTTCCCAGTCCTTACTCAGCTTTAATGTCCCTCTCCTCCTTTCTTCCTCTTCTGCCCTGCTTTCTCCTTCTCTCCCCCTTCCATGTTCTCCTTTTCTTCCTCCCCCATGTTATTAACATTGAGGAAGTAATTTGGACTCAGATTGAACAAATGCAATAATACTAAAATGGGCCTGATACTTACATGTAATTGTGTTATTAGCTGGAAATGTTTTGCTTCAAAAGGAAAAGAATCAAGAGTGAAGTTTGCCAAGGCAGCACGTTAGTAAGAAGGACTATTAGTAAGAAGGACTGCCAGGTAAGGTACAGTCTGTATGTTATTTCCTCCTTCATCTGTAACTGTAGTGTTTCCCTGTTTTATTCAACACAGGATTTTTCTCCTCCATCCCAATTTTCTGAATGGCTATTACAGCGTTGTGCAGCTTCTATTCCCAGAGAATGGAGGAATTGATTTAGGACAGATAAAGCCTACTATGTTTCGGTACATACTGGGTACCAGTTATTTTGCTAGTTACTTTACATGAGTTTTATTCCTGAACTCCACAGATATTGCTGCCAGGTATTGTGTGGAAGGAAAACAAATCTGAAGCTACTGGTTCTGGTCCAATTCCATCCTAAGCTGGCTCCAAAACGTTAGATAAGTGCTCAGATGTTGCAGCTCAGCTTTTGGAGGACAAAATGAACATGGGCACTTTTAAGTAATGGGGCTTTATTAGGATTGGAGAGGATAATGGAGCTGCTGCATCATAGTAATGGTGTTTCTCTCCGTGTCTTTAGAAGTGAGCTCCCCAAAGAGTAAGTCATTTATTCAGAGCTTATGCAACTAGTGGAAAGTGTAGCCACACAGTACCATAAGTAAAAGCAGAAGATTTAGACAGATGTGAGATGAGTTACTAACTGTGTGGTTTAGGGTAGGCAGTAAAACCACACAGCAAGTAAATCCTTCTCTGTACGGTAGGAGAATGGATTGTCCTTCATGGGTTGTTCTGAGAAATACATAAAATTCCTTATGTACGTTACTCAGAACCTCACTCATAAGCAGCTCAATATTTTTGAGTCTTTCTTCATCACTCATCCAATCCTTTTGCCTTGTCTACTTTTAGTATTGATTGCAAGGCAGTGATCAGTCTTCCAAGTCCACCTAATATCTACAGCTTAAAATTATTACAGTATTCGTGAAGTCTCTCAAGTTACCCCAAGAACCCTGAGAAAGAAAAGACAGTGGAGTTCCACACTGCCATCAAGAAGGATAAAGGAATCACTTGTAGCAAAAGTGGGTGTTTCTTGAGACAATCAGGTTAAGTGAAATAAATGAGACACACAATCTTAAATATCGCATGGTTTCTCTTATGTGAGAAACACAAAATGTAGATTAAAAAGCAGAATAAAAGGTAGATGACAGAAAATAGATCTCTCGGAAAAGGGGAAGGAGATGGAGGGAGGGGAAGGGGGAGGAAGGGAAAGTGATGAAAATGAACGGAGACATGTTGTGTGCACGTACAAAATCTCACAGGAATGTAATCATCGTGTATTGCACATATGTGCTAAACTCTAGCAGATAGGGACTCATATTTCCGCATGTTCTAAGGGAGACATTTTCAAAAGGAGAGAGAAGAAGATAAAAGGAAAACATAGTTACAAAACCTGTGTTGTAGGTCGCTGTTCAGATTATTCATTCAGAATTGAAAGGAATGCATGGAAACATAATCCTCAGCGCCCCAGAGAGGTACAGCACTGATTTTCCACGGCAATAAGCCCAAGTGTTGCTGATGAAAGAAAAGCTATGATGTGGGGAGAAAACAAATCCAAGAGACTCCGTGTATCAGGTGGAGGGGTTGTTGGATGGCTGGTGAATGCAGAAGAGTTAGCACAATAAAGAAGTGAGGGAACAGAACTAGGATAAGAGTTGGATGAGCATCATTGTTGCTGAGAGTGTTTTACACATGCACACTTGCTCATATGCACACACACACATGCATATCTATATAATTAATTACATTGAACATCTCCGTACCATTTAATCATTTTGTGGCTTCAAAGAGATATTGGAGGTAAAACATTGCTCTACTTTTTTTTCCTCTGGTGTCCCTGTACTCCCATTGTCAGGGTACTCATTCTACCTTGTTTTTGAAAGAATCATTTTAAGCCAATTTGCCCATTTTGTGAATGTTTAATTAGTTAAAGTTCCATAAGGGAAAAGCCTAAAGGCACACAGCCATCCATGCAGACCTAGCAGCTTGTCACCACGTGCCACAGCCCACGAACAAGCAGCAAGGCCACAGGCAGCCCCTTTGTGGTAGAACCTCCTATTTGGCTGGCATTTGTCACTTATGGGAAACATGGCACCATTGACAAATTAGTGAACCTTTATTTGTTTCTCATTTCTTAGATAAAAGTTAGGTATAAATAAATTTTATTAATATTCTCTTCCATTTTGGAATGGATCCCGGTAGCTTTGGAATGAACGGAGTGGTTAAGCAAAGTAGTGTCTCTGGATGCCAGGAAGCTAAGGCCCTACGAAGGGCCTTTGGATAGTAAATATTTTAGGCTTTCTACTCATCTTTCCATTTATCTTTCTACTATGCCTTTGGCACAGAAAGGAAACATGGTCGCTCTTGACTTTACAGAGTGGTACAGAAAGTATGTACAGCTTACACCCAAAAACTCTTATGTCCATATGAGAATTTGGCAGTCAGCTTTGTGCTTTATAGATTGAATTATTCTTTTTTAAAAAATTCATCCTCTACAGAAAAGAAAAGGAACCAATAAAGAAATTTTCATCATCCAAACCAAGGCAAAAGTAGGTTACTACTAAAGGCTTGAATAAGGTCTGAATGTATCCCTTTAATGTATTATGAAAGACCTAATTTCTTATTGCTTTTTGCATGAATTTGTAGTTTTTCTCCATGTCATATGCTTGCAAATTGTGCTCTAAATATAGGAACATACAGGGTGTTCTGACTTGGTATGATCCCATGTTAGCTACTGTTGATTGATTTTGGAATTGAGCTGTCATTTTGTAAGGTTCTATGATAAATGAGAGCAAGTACATGTCTTAGTCACTTTCTGGGCACTGGGATAAAGTATTTGACATCTCAACTGAAAGGAGGAGAGCTTTATTTTGACTTAAGGTTTCAGTGCATTTAGTGTGGGGCTGCGTGGCCTACTGGATAAGGTGTCTGATTCTGGTTTCAGTGCATTCAGTCCATGGCTGATTGGCTCCAAGGCAAAAATGAGATGGTACAGGAGCCTGGTGGAAGAAAGTTGCTCTTGTCAGGGAAGCCAGACGGACGTAATGATAAGGACAGACTTTTCCAGGCCACA